ATCTGTGGGCTGAAGGGGATTTCACGGGGCGGACAGGGGTGAAGAGGGTGTCCACACATAGGGATAGCACGTGCAAAGGTCCAGAGGTGGGGACGGTGTTGTGTGTTTGGGGACTATTTCAGAGTGCTGCCATAAAAAAAAAGACCACAAACTTGGTGGCCTAAAACAATAGGAATTTACCTTCTCAGTCTGGAGGCCAGAGGACAGTCAGGTGTTGGCAGGGCCACACTCCCAGCCAAGGCTTCAGGCAGAATTCTTGCCTGCACCTTCCAGGGTCCGGGGACTCCATGCATAACTGGAGTCACTGCCTCCATCCTCACACGGCCTCCTTCTGTGTCTGCCTCTTCTCCCTTTCTATTGCCTCTGAGGACCCATCATCCGATTGAGGGCCCACTCAATTAACCGAGGATAATCTCACCTCGAGATGCTTACCGTAATATATCTGCAAAGATCTTTTCCCAAGTAAAGTCACATTCACAGGTACCGAGGTTAGGATTCGTACATATACATTCAGGGGCTACTATTCAGCCCGCTACAAGCACCTAGAAAATGTCTGATATTACAGGGCAGCAGAATATGACCCCAAAAAGGTAAAGTCAGGTGACCATGAAGGGCCTCAAACTGAGGAGTTTGGGTTGTACCTTGAAGTAAATGAGGAACTGTTAAATTTTGAACAAGGGAGAGGGTGTTGGAATTGTCCTCATGAGCATTGTTGAGGGTATGGGGCAGGATGGGGAGCAGGGATAGTTCAGGGTGTAGGAGATGAGGAGCAGGAAGAGGGAGGAATCTGAAATGACTCCTAGGTTTCCCACCTGAGCGAGCTGGCACGGCAGGCGGGAAGTTCAGGAAACAATCCGAGAGATGAGTCTGCAGCCCAGACCTCGCCCCGGAATGTAAACAAGGTTTGGGAGAGGGAGCAAAGTGAGAGGTGACAGAAGCCTGGAGAACACCAATTTTTCCCACTATTTTATTATGAAAAATTTCAAACACACATAAAAGTTTAAAGAGTTGCACAGTGAACACCCACATACCCATCATCTGGAGTCTGTAATTATCATTTTCCTATACTTGCTTTATCACACATCTACCCATCCCTCTGAACATCATCAACCCATCTTATTTTTTAATGTGTTTCAGAGTAAGTCGCTGACATCTCAACACTCAATCAGCACATAAGCACGCGTATTGTTAACCGGAGCTCGATAGCTAGTGAAATGCGTAGATCTTACGTGTACTATCTGGTGAATGAACCCACCTGCGCACCCCAAGTCCGTGTCAGGGTACAGAACATGTCCATCACCCCAGAAAGTTCCCTGTGCCCCTTCCAGTCAACTCCTGTGCCCACCCCACTCCCAGAGGCAACCGCTATTTTTATTTTTTTTCAACCGTAGATTATTTTTGTCTGTTTGAGAACTTCATGTCAGTGGAACCATATAGGATATGCCCTTTTGTGTCTGGCTTCTTTCACTTAGTGTGAGAGCCCGCAGTTTGTCTCTCTTTGTTGCTGAGCAATGTTCTGTTGTAAGGACATCTAAAGAGTATCAACTTTAAAGGATGGGCAAGGACAGAGAATTCCACCAAAGGGACTTAGAAGGAATGACGAGGGCGGTAGGAAAAGCACCCAGGCAGAATGTCAAGGAAAACCATCTGGATCAATAACAATTAGGTTTGACTGCATAACGGTGGCCCTGGCCTGTGTGGCTCAGTTGGTTGGAGCATCGTCCCATGGCCAAAAGGTTGCAGATTTGATTCTCAGTCAGGGCACATACCTAGGTTGTGGGTTTGATCCCTGGTCCAGAGGGTATGGCCCCTGGTCTGGGCGTGTGCAGGAGGCAACCAATGGATGCTTCTCTCTTGCAACAATGTTTTTTCCTCTCCCTTCCTTTCTGTCTAAAACGAATGAAAAAAAAAGTTATCAGGTGAGGATAAAAAAAACCCAACAACAACTAAGTAACAGTGGTTCAAACAATAGGCATTTTTTTTCTCATGTAAAAGAAGTCCAGACAGAGGTAGACAGTCCTGGGCTGGTACGGCCCAGGCTCCAAACTTTCTGTTCAGCTGTCTCTGGTACTGGCTTCTATCACCTCATGGTTTAATATGGTTGCTGGAGCTCCAGCCATTCCATCAATTTCCAAACCAAATCGACAACAAAAAGAGGAAGCATGAAGAGGGCCCAAAGCAAATAAACCAAACATACCTTTCAGCTAAAACAATCTCTTTTAGCAGCATTTCTCAAAGTGCCACACATCTCATTGGCCAGAACTTCTCATATGGCCCACACCACTAAGAAAAGTAGTCTTTTAGCTGGCCACCGGGCACACGGCCACTCTACATATAATGAGGCTTAGGTTACAAGGAGAGGAAGTGGATATTGGCTGTCAGCAGGCTCCTCTGCCTTCTTTCTTTCAAGACCCGGTGGCCAACCCACAGTCCACTCAGCATTCCTGTCTGGGGTCTTTCACCAATTGAAGCCCGTGCTTAGTAGAACTCCATGAGCCCCTGTCCCCAGGGTTCCTTCTTCTCTGAGGATTGGTTTCTCAGTCTTTTCCGCATCCCTTTGCCTGGTAGGGGTCTCCTGGGTCTCTGACTTCTGGGCTGTTGGGGTCTTATGAAGGGTGGAATGAAAGGAAACATGTCTAGGAGCACGTGCAGAGAGTTCTGTGGGTACTTCCTCTCCTCCTGAGCCTCCCCTCCTGTGGCTGGCACCTCTCTCTCGGCCAGCCCTCCCTTTCCTCCGTGGTCAGCCTCCCTTGACAAGGAGGGCTGTAGAAGATTTCTCTGGAAGGTTCGTGATATTTGGAGAGAAAATGTTGGCATCTGGAGACAGACCTGGGTTCAGATCCTCTCTGTGTACATCTGTCTGAGCCTCAGTGACCTGTCTGCCAGTCCAGGATGGTGGGAATGGCCTCGTGGATGTGGCTCAGTTGAGAGGAACAGGAGGTGCCAGTCCGCAGCCGCCACTCTGATGAAGCGGGTCGTGCACACAGGGAGGGCAGCTGGCAGAGGCCTGCCCTCCCTGCCGGGACCCAGCCAGCTCCCCTCCCTGTGTGCACGACCCGCCACAGGGAGGCTCTGATGTGAAGGCGAGCCACGAGACCTTCCCTGTTGTGCCGTCCACCTCTGCCCTTGGGAAAGGTCTCAGGAGGGAGGGATCTGGTCCTGTGACCCCTGGGAATTGGTCAGTGTATAGGAGAGTCTGAGTGGCCTGCTGGACTCTGAACTGGGGATCCTCACAGCTGACACTCCGGGCCTTGACTCCGGGAGAAATGGCAGCGGGAGGCTCCCGGAGGAGAGATGGCAGGTGAACGCGATGTTTCATTTCCTCCTTGCACTTTTCCAAAGGGAGCAGGTTTCAGGAAACAGCCAGGTCCCTGCCAGTGCCAGACTTGGGCAGACTGGATGCTGCGGTGCCTCTTTCTCCTTCCAGTCCCTGGAAACAGCAGAGTCGGCTCACTCCCTGTCTCACTCCTGGCCTCAGACGTAGGCCCCTTGTCCTCTGGGGCAGTGGACCCTGTCTCCTGGGCACATGGCACACACACAGCTCAGTGCCTGGGTCACTAGATTCTGTGGTTCTCCATGTGTGTGCCTGTCCTGGGAAAAAGGAGTAGCCGTGTCCCCCACAACTTAACGGGCTGTCAGCACGGACTGGCGAGGCAGTCTGCGGGAGCAGGTGCAGCCAGGCCCAGGGAAGCTCTCAGCTGCCAAAGGGCCAGATTGCACTGAGCGTGTCTGTGGCCAGGTGCCCTGGTGACCTGTTGACACCATTCTCAGGCTGCCGTCTGCCTGGAGGCTGGTGTGTTGTGACAGAGGAGGAGGAGCCAGGCCCCAGTGGAGAGTTTGGCTCAAGCCTCAGACACGACCGGGGCAGTGCGTTCCTTGGCTCATTCATCCCCTCCACACCCATTTCCCAAGGTCCTGCTGCACGTCAGCCTGTGGGCACCCGGTGATGACCGAGACACCCAATTCCTGCCCCCGGGAGCTTAGGGACAAATGAGCAGGATCAACAGGGGCGCTAGAAGGCCATGGGCTGTAGGAGTTCTGAGCTGAGATGCCAGGGAGGACATTCTGGAAGAAGTAGTATGTGAGTGGATGACGGGTCAGGCCCAGCCAGGGGCTGGGGTGGGGAGGGGGCGGGAGGGTCCCTCAGCCTGTGGCAGGAGAGACTCCCACTGGTGGGGTTTGACCAGGGGCCTTTTTGAGGTGCTGCCCTTCTGTCCCAGGGAAGGGGCGGGGTAACCGCGTGGGCGCTGGGGCCTGAGTGGCGCTGGCGGCCAAGGGGGCTAACAGCAGCTCCGCTTCCCCGCAGCCTTTTCCTTCCTCCTTCTCCGAGGGAAGCCCGCACTGGAATTATAGACGTAAGTGCTGGCTTTTGAGGAGTCTGTTCAATCCCGTCCTGCCAGGCCTCGGGGCCTCCTCCTCACCCACGCGCTGCCGGCTGTGGGCCCTGTCCTGCACGAGGCCTTGTGTGGAGGGCTCAGGGCTCCCTTGGGTGCTGTTTCTCAACCCCCTACCCTGCAACCTGCTCTGCCTCCCTCACCCAGGGATCCAGCTCAGTGTATAGATGGTAGCCCAGGAGGAGGGGCTCAGGAAGTGACATCGCTTGGCCCGCCCCCACCTCCTTATTCCCTATAAAAAGCAAAATGGTGACTCAGAGAGGAGAGTTGGAAGCGTCCTGCCTCCTGCTCCCACTGTTAATTTTTAGACTTGGAATTAGGCAGGAGGCAAAGGAAACAACAGCTCGAATAAGCAACTGACATGCTATTAAGCGGGTGGCAACAGAGGAACCGCTCCTCCCTGGCTCCCAGCAGCCCCTGAACTGCTGGCGCTCCCCAGGCCCGCGCGAAGCCCCGGCCCCCTGCGCAGCCCCCGCCTGGGCCAGGCTGTGGATGCTGCGGCCAGGAGCATGGCAGCTGGGGGCCGCCGCCGGCGCCCACTGCGCTACCAGTCCCTGGCAGCCCTCGTGGAGGACTCTCAGTGGCCTTTCTTGTTCCTTGTCTCAGACTTCAGCTACGGGGCAGACGACTACGACGGTGAGGGGAATGAGGAGCAGAAGGGACCCCCGGAGGGCTCAGAGACCATGCCGTACATCGACGAGTCGCCCACCATGTCACCCCAGCTCAGTGCCCGCAGCCAGGGCGGCGGGGACAGCATCTCCCCCACCCCGCCAGAGGGGTTGGCACCTGGGGTAGGTACACCGGCTTTTCCTTCTGGGTTTGGGAGGAGGGGGCTTTTGAGGAGGGGGTTGACAGGCATGGGTGTCATGGGCCAGGCTCTTGCTTGGGAGGCTACCCGGGGTGGGGGGTGGCGGCAGGGCTGGGGAGGTTTGTCTGTTTTGGGTGCCCTCGTCAGCTCTTTCCAGCCCTGGACCCCTCTCAGACTAGCTCCCCTCCCACCCCGCCGGCTGCTCTCCCTGCCTCCTCTCCCAGTCGTCTGTTCCCCTGCCTGCTGGTCACCCTCGCCTCCTCTTGCAGCACCCCTAGCAGAACAGGGCCTCGGGAGGGAACAGGCTCTTCTCTCTGGGCCCGGATGGGACCGTGGCTGCGTATGTAACTGGTGGCTGTAAAGGTACAGATGCCAGCCCAGCACACCAAGGCCGGTCTGGGTACTGCCTTGAGGTAGCGTGAGCTGCGTCTGTAGCATTCCTGAGGGCCAGGGACCCCCCTCCAGCCCTCCTCTGGGAAGGAATAAGCTCTCATGGTGTCCACCTCAACTCTTGTCGATGGATGGGAGCTGCATTCCAAAGACAGGCATTTCACAAGGACTGATGAGTCTGTTCTCCGAGACAAACCAGGGGGTAGAAGTGAGGAGAGGTTTGCCATCCTTGTAATTAATGCTGTTCCTGGCCACAGGGACCAGCTCTCTCTGGGCCTTGCTTGTGCACATGAGCAAATGAGGCAGAAATTCCTGGGGCTGTTATTCTGAAGTTGGGGAGAAGCAAAGCCATGCTTCCACTGGGGGAGGGCCTTGGAGTGCCTGGCCCTGCTGGGTAGAGGGCTTATCCAGGTGCGTTTTGTGGAGGGACTCCTTTCTTCGCTCTAATACCCCCAAGGAGCTGTCACTGAGATGCTGCGAGATACTTGTTTCCCTCCTACAGTGCCCAGCACCCCACCCCCCGTGCAGCCAGGGAGTGCTACCTGGAGTCCACCGTTTCGAGAACCCCCTGCTTCCTTTCTTTCCAGCCTCCTTGGCCACCCTCCACCCCTCTGCTGAGCTCTTACCCCCCTCTTCTCACACCGGGGTGGCTGTTATAGCCTTTGGCAACAAGGGCCTTGGCAACCAGCTTCCCACTTGGGGAAAGCCACATTGTTGCCATGGCGACGGCGGCAGAGCTCAGCTGGCTGCCAGGCAGTGAAAGTTTGGGAAGGGATGGTGGGGGCAGGTGAGAGGTAGAGGGGGTGCAGAGGGTGTCGGTCAGGTCCAGGCCCCCCACAGCCAGCAGGCTGGGGTGTTGCTTTGTGGTCCCAGGAAAGGTGGCAGGTGAGGGACAGCCATCTTGGACATACGGGGCAAGATTTGGTCCCGGTGCAGGGGAGACTATTCTGGGGCCTGAACTGAGGCCAGCAGGGAAAGCCAGAAGACTCTGGCTTCCCGTCTCTGCCGTTAGGTCTCTCCTGGTCACAGGGTTCAGAGACCCCCCCTGGGGTCACCGCTGGGAGCGGGTGTGGGAGCATTCCCGGTAGGAGGCAGCACGGGGCCGGGGGTGCTGGCCGAGAGTCAAGAACGTGTGGCCAGACAGAGCCGCTTGCTGAAGAGGAAGAGCGTCTTTGCCATTTCCTCCTCGCCTCTCTGCCTTCCTCCTTGCTTCCTGTCCCAGTTCCGTCCCTCGTCCCGTGACGGCCCTGCTGGGCTGCTCCGAGTTTTAGATTCCCTGGGGGGAAGGTGCTGTCAGGGGCTTTCACTCTCCAGATGAGCTCACAGTTGTAACGGGAGGTGCCCCTGCCGGGAGCACCCAGGCCTCAGGGGCAGTGACTAGCGTCATTTGGTGGTTGCCCTCTCTGCCTGGTGACTCAGGAGGGAATGACTTGGTTTGAGGACTTTGAAATCCAGAGATGCCACGGGGACAACTGACTGAAGTGCTTGGGAACCTGAGGACTGAGTTTAACACCATTGGTGAGAAGTCATGCAAGGCAGAGGCAGGAAGCATTTATCCAGCTTGGGGATCTCAGCGAAGATTCCAGACCAGTGCACCCCCTGCGTCCTCACCTTCCCTCCTGGACTTGCATTTTCGCCCTTTCCAGTGTGTCACTGCCCCATCTAGTGGACTCAGCGAGTATTGCTGTTTACGTTGGGGTGCTGGAGGGTATTCTTCTGGAGTACTTGGGGAACAGTTTTAGTTAGAAAAAGAAGAAAGGAGGAAGGGGAAGAGAAAGCAAGCCAGCCAAGGTTTCTGCTACTTGGCTGTCCTCATTTGGCCAGGCAGGTCCCTACACTGCTGGGCTTCCTGTTGGGGCCTTGGGAACCGAGGGGACTTTTAGACCAAATTGGACAACTGTTCTAGATATTTAGATATGCGGCCTCTGGCAGTTGGGCTTCCACACCCAAATATGCATCACCTTGTGCCTGGGAGCCCAAGGTTGGTCTTTGTATTATAAGTCAGGATTCTTCAGAGATATAGAATGTGTGTGTGTGTGTGTGTATGTACACACACGTACATATACATACATATATATATATATATATAGAGAGAGAGAGAGAGAGAGAGAGAGAGATTTATTATAAGGAATTGACTTAATTACAGAGGCTGAGAAATCCCAAAATCTACAGCCAGCAAACTGGAGACCCAGGAAAGCTGAGCTACAGTTCTAGTCTGAGTCTGGGAGCAGCAGAGCCAATAAATGGTCTTTCAGACAAGAAGGCCTGAAGGCTCGAGTCACAAGAAAAGCTGATGTTTAGTCTGAGTCTGAAGGCTGAAAAAGACCCACGTCCCAGAGTAACGGTCAGGCAAAAGGAGTTTGCTCTTACTCAGCAGACTTTTTGTTCTACTCAGGCCATCAGCTGGTTAGATGAGGCCTACCCACCTTAGGGAGGGGTATCTGCTTTACTCAGTCAACTGAGTTAAATCTTACTTCCCGTCTAGAAACATCCTCACAGACACAGCGTGAATAGTTTTGTTCAAATGTCTGGGCACCTGTGACACAGTCAGGCTGACTCATAAAATTAAACTCAGTCTTACTCTTCCAGCAGCCCAGAGAACAGAAGGAATGTGAGCTTTGGATAGATGCACGCCTGCTCCCTCTCGCTGTGAGATGTTGGGGGAGCGTCATAACCCTTCTGAGCCTCAGCCTTCTCATTTCTGAATTACGACTAACTACCTGAGAGGATAGACTGGTCTATTTAGCTCAGGCGAGGCCCGCAGTGCTGGGTGCAGCTCACTGTGGGGGCTGAGTCCTTGTCGACTGGGGCCTGCGAGACTTTCCTCACCAGCTTTCAGAGGAGTGGGGAGCAGGGAATGCCGCAAGGGCCAGGTCTTGCGTGGTTACTGAACAAGACTGAATCTGCTTTAGCAACCTGCTTCCTGGGTGTGGGTCAGCCCTGCCCCATGTGGGAGCCCGGATGAAGCCAGGTCTCTGTGGTGCTGGCTGCACACGCTTTTCACTCCCCAGCACGGCACCCCTACTCCTGAGGCATCAGTGTGAACCCTGAAGCCCTGCCCTGTAGATGCCTCACCCTCCCCGAGCCCAGGCTGAGCAGAGCTCCGCTCCCCGGCAGGGCCAGGGCCACAGGTGGTTTGGTTTAACTGAGCCCTCGCTTTCGTCTGGGGATGGAAGGGCGGCTGTCCATCCCCGCCGACATGCCTCTGCTAGGCCAATGGCCTTACATGAAAGCTTCCTCCCCACAGGCCGTGGACACTTGTTTGTCCTCTTGAGAGGTATAGATGAAGGGGCCACAAGAAGCGAGAAAAGCTGGTGTTGTCTCAGCACTGCCACTTTCTAGCTGTGTGACCTGAGGGATGCCGGTCACCCTCTCTGAGCTCCAGCCTCGCTCATCTCTAAAGTGGAGATACTGAGAATTTCCTCCCTATTGACTTCGCAGGGCTGTCGTGAGGCTTCTGTGAGAAGATGTTAGGTAGGGCGCTTTGTCAGGTCTGCACACATTTCAGCTAGGGCTGCTCAATGTCAAAGCCATTCTAAAGTTCCTGTGATACCTGCAGCAGGTCAGAGTGTGTCTGACAAAAGGCCGAATGGCAAGGTTCTGACCAGAGCTTGCAAGAGAATCCAGAGATAAGGATGGGGGAGCTTTGAAATGATTAGCATTGTCATCCTCATCTCTCTCCCCCTCCTCCTCATCACCATCACAGATACTTAGGATTTGCCGAGCCTTTTACATGGGCTGTCTTGTTTAAGGCCAAACACTCCCTTGTAGGTAAGTGCAGTGATTATCATTTTACAGTTGAGGAAACCAAGGCTCAGAGAGGTGGCTTAATTTGTCTCAGACAAGCCAGTGGGGCCAGAGCTCTAAACTCAGCTCTTTCTGATGCTGGAGTTCTCTGCCAGGTCTGCTCAGATGCCACCTCCCTTGTGAAGCATTTACAGCCCATTGCCAAGCCCTCTGCTGTCTGGGCAATTCACCCAGTTACAGCCTAATCGTCTCCATGGCCCCGACAGCAGCTCCCAGGCAGGCGGGCCCCTAGGGCTGCTCCCCTGCTGTTTGTGGAAGGGCACTGAGAAGCCCTGGGGGGGCCAAGGGGAGGAAGGAAGGGCACATGCAGTCTTGGGGGCTGAAGCTGGGACAGTCTTCTGCCCCCTCTTCCCTTCCTCCTTCCCTTCTGAAGACTTGGGGTTTGAGATTAGAGGTGGCAAAATAAGGAGTCGGCCACTAGGTGAATGCTGAAGCCACAGGGAAAGCCTGAGTGTCTGAGCTTGTGTCAAAGTCTGCTTCTGATGGGCTGCGCTCCGGGCCTGAGTGGGGTGGGCTATCGGGTGGTCCTCGTGCCTCTTGGTGTCTCTAGCTGCCGGTGGAATCAGAGACACACTGCCCTCAAGTTGCCGACCTCCTGCCTTCGCAGCCTTGCTCCTCGTTTTTCCCTTTCTGGACCCTTGGTCGTTGCTGCCAAGAGGAACCTAGCTGGCCCCTCCTAGGTGCCAGGCGCTGCGCAGGGAGCCCACCGGCCTTGTGGCCACCTAACTCCTCCAACCCCAGGGGGGGGAGGGGAGCCCCTGCTGTAGATGAAGAATCTAAGGCTGG